ATAAAAGGTAGAGTCAAAAAAATAAATATGGGAGACCATATCAATGAGTAGGTGCCACTTAAAGGGATAGTTCGTCCAAAAAACCAATCACTCACCCTCATGTTGTTCCAAACCTGTATAAATTCCTCACATCTGCAGAACACAAGTAGGTTGACAAACAACATTGGACCCGAATGACTTTCATTATAAGGTCAAGACGAAGAACAAGAAAGTCATACTTTTTTTTTTTTTTTTTGAAAGAACACAGGAGAGTAAGACAGAATTATTTCATTTTTTTGGTTAACTACTTAAATGTTAGGAGTACATTATCACTGTTCAAATCAGCAAAGACAGACATTTAAAATAAATAAAAAAATCTAAAATTTCTGAAATAAGCATTTAGGCAATTGAAATTTTTGCCCAAAACTAGTTACTGAGATAAACCCCCTGTGACAGTTAGCCCCGATCTGCCATACACAGTTTTATGGCAGAAGGTATCATGTGAAAACACAGTGCAGTGTGATAAAAAAAAAAGTGTGCCATTTGCTCCACTGTTTTAATCAAGGAGATTACATCCCATGTACATGTGCGTATGTGAGGCAGAATGTGTTCAGTGTGGGATCATTAGATGTTAAATTTGTGTGAGTGGGTCAGAGAGAGCGAGAGAGAGCGAGAGAGAGAGAGAGGTGTTCTGTATCTTGTAGAGTGAGGAATGATTAAATCTTAATCAAGTAAGTGTGCAGTGAGAATCACTGATTGCACGTGTTGTGTGAGATGAATCAATAACTAAAAGACTAAAGGAGTTTTGTGATAGAATGACATTTGAAAGAATATGAAAGGACACACATTCACTCACAGACACATCCTGATTCGTTCTCCAATCCCTCCCTTCCTAATTTCCTCCCTCAAATTCCTACACACTCTCTCTCCCCCATTGACTCATTTGCTTGCGAGGGATTAAGCGTGTTCTGTATCTTGTAGAGTGAGGAATGATTAAATCTTAATCAAGTAAGTGTGCAGTGAGAATCACTGATTGCACGTGTTGTGTGAGATGAATCAATAACTAAAAGACTAAAGGAGTTTTGTGATAGAATGACATTTGAAAGAATATGAAAGGACACACATTCACTCACAGACACATCCTGATTCGTTCTCCAATCCCTCCCTTCCTAATTTCCTCCCTCAAATTCCTACACACTCTCTCTCCCCCATTGACTCATTTGCTTGCGAGGGATTAAGCAGGATAGAGAGGGATTACACTTCTTTTTCCCAAGAGGACTTTTCCGTACTCTGCTATGGAATACTATTCACGTTATTCCTCTGTTTATACCATTATATCTGAGTGAGTTCAAACTGACCGTCATCATGCAAACCCTCTTCAGAATCTCTTCAGTGTGTTAAATTCTAAACTGGGATCCAAACAGAAAGACAAACTGAATGTGAGGGAAGAGGGAGGTGAGTGAACAGGATTTGCTACTTAAGTCTCTCTGCCTGGATGTGGGTTTGTGGTTCTTGCTTCCCAGGTTTATCTACGAGGAAGCTCACTGTGCGACAAATGCAGTATGCTGTTTATTTACTGTAATTATTAAACTCTTCCTTGTGTGTATTGGGATGGTCAACTTGGATTCAGAATTGTTACGTGCAAATTCTAGACATATTCTGCAGTCAGAAATCAGATTTGGCTATGCAAATAGCCTCAAATGCAGAAACACTGAGGTAAAACCACTTTTAAAATGACAGTAACTCTCAGAAAGAATATTTGAAGATATGATGTCCAGAGTTTTATATGCACCCATTAAGTCATAAAGTCTGAAAGTAGGTGCACCTGTTTTGTTCAAAAGATCTGCAAATTAATATCCAGTGTCTTCACCTGCAGTGATCACAACAAATCATGGTGAGAAATTAAAATCACGCTCTTCCTTCTGATATTGTTATTGGTTATGTAGAGTTTTTTATCCAAAGCCACTTAGGGTGCACTTATTACCAGGACAGGCCCCTTGGAGTAACCTGTACTTATGTGTTTTGCTCAAGGTCAAACTGTGACAAGGGCATTCGTGGACCACCTCCATTCTGGGATTTCTGGATTTAACCTAAGACCTAAGCATTATCAGCCCTTACACTTTAACCAATCAATTGTCTATAATTTGCAAATTTGTCATACCCTGGATGCTTTTATTCAAAGTAACAATAAGGACAGTTCAATGATCCTTATAGGGACCTACAAACGTTTGGTTACTAGCCATGATCTTTATGCCACACCACCCTAAATTACCACTATTGTTTGTCTGTAAAGGTTTTAAGTGCATATCCAAATCACAATGTCTCAGATATTAAACACTGATATAAGGTAAGGCTGGAAACTTGAATTGTATTTACAACCAACAAAGTTCTGTAATGCGTTTCCCAAAATTAAAAATCCCAAAAGTAGATTGCAGAGACCATCAGTGTCAATGGTTCAACGGTACTTAACCTTATGGTGCTTTTGTGAAATGCAGCCCAAGCTAGAATGTCTTATTCACACCAATGAAGAGGAAGTAACAGCATAAACACAACATTTCTATTGAATTTACAGTTTACTTGTATATAACAGTCAGCAACTGATCAGCAGTTTTACTTGAGTTCATGTGCTTTTTCTTGCAGCTGTATATGAGGAGGGTCAGTGCATAATTTATTTATTCCCTGAACCCCCAAACACTCCAGGATTGACAATGAGACCAGATGTGGAGACTGATCCTGGGTCAACTCCACTGGAGATGGGAGACAAAGGTATGATGCTGCAAGTAGCTACTTAAATTTCAAAGCTTCCAGATTAATTGTAGTTTTGCCCTGCTAATTAACAACATGCTAATATTAGCACTGTTGTAGCTGCTGAAAAAGTAGTGAGCATCACATATAACTGACATGTACTCATCCAGCTTTCAGTTCTGAAGGTGCTTGCGTTGCATGTTCCAGGCCTGACACAGATCTTGGCACATGTGATTGCCGAAGTGAGGGGCTCTGTCAATAAAGATATAAATGGAGCTGAACTATTGTACAGTCTCCTCAACGCCCCCTGGTTGCAGTCCCTACTAAAGGTAGAGTCCATCCTACATACACTTATTAACAGTGAGTTAAAAGTCAGGGTTCATCATCTCCTTCTTTCTCTGCAGGTGTATGAAAGTCTACAGAGGCACCTAAAGGGTCCAGCTAGGCCATATCTTTCCTATTCGTCTGGACTCTCTCTACAGGTCAGCTCCACTCTAACTGTCATTAAAGGGTTAGTTCACCAAAAAAAATGAAAATTCTGTCATTAATTACTCACCCTCATGTCGTTTCAAACCGGTAAGACCTTCACTCATTTTTGGAACACAAATTATTTTTTGACGAAGATATTTTTGATGAAATCTGAGCGCATCTGACCCTCCATAGACAACAACGCAATTGAATAAAGTCGTTATTTTTGTTTGTTTTTTGCGCACAAAAGTATTCTCGTAGCTTCATAAAATTTAGGTTGAACCACTGATGCCACATGGACTATTTTAACGATGTCCTTACTACCTTTCTGGGCCTTGAATGTAGTAGTTGTGTTGCTGTCTATGCGGTGTCAGAAAGCTCTCGGATTTCATACAAAATATTAATTTGTGTTCCCAAGATGAAAGAAGGTCTTACGGGTTTGGAACGACATGAGGGTGAGTAATTAATGACAGAATTGTAATTTTTGGGTGAACTAATCCTTTAATTTTCACCACAGTTTGTGCCACTCATGCCTTGTAGTTTCAGTTCATGCTTCCTTGATGGAGTTCAAAATATCCAAAATATGACCTCTAAAGCTTCATCATTTAGTGTGCCTGAAGACTTCATTGCAGATTGTACTGGGTCTTTAGACCTCTTGACACCACATGAACATAATGTTATTACCCGACTGACATGATGTTATTGCTCTGTTGGGTTTATGTTTTGGTCTGAATCTGGGGCTCATGAAGTTTACTGTTGCCCTTGGTCTGGGCCGTACGGGGTCTGGTATTGGTTTGGACCTAGGTCTTAGAGCAGGGGTGGGCAACTTTGGCCTTCGAGATCCACTGTTCTAATAATCTAACCAAAGTCTTCAGGATTATTAGAAAATTCGAGGCAGGTGTTATTGAGCTAAACTGCAAGACAATAAATCTCGAGGGGCAGAGTTGCCCACCCCTATCTTAGAGGGTCTGTTAGAGGTCTTGGACTTGACTCCAATTTTTGTACCAATACATTTTCAATTCCTAATAAGTCCTGACTCATGTTTTGGCACTCTAGATTCTGTCTGACCTGCTGGCAGTCCCAAAACCCTCAAATGAAGCTCGAGAACTATATGCCCTCCTTAGTCATCCCCACCTACAGGTGAGCAATCTTTCTAAGGATATAAATACATGTTTTTTAAACAGCATGGTGTTTGGAGGGGCATAGTTTCTTGGCCATCACCCTCTTCATGATAGAACCTTTCTAAAGTCTCAGGCCAGATATTTTTGTAGTGTTTCGGGGCAGACTTTATGGACCAGTAGATGATTGTAGACATTGTTGCTTTGCATTTTTGTTAATTAGAAGGTTTTCAAGTTGACCACTTCCAGTATTCGATTAGTTGTGTGGAATGTGTTGTCAACCATAGAAATAAAAGAAACCACATGTGTTTTTCAGGCTCTCCTTTCTGCTCATGACACAGTAAGTTTGAGAGACTATGAGCCAGATCTGCCACCATTACCTAAAGACCTGCCTGAAGATGAGGAAGCCATGAGAATTGTTTGCTTGGTCAAAAACAATCAGCCTCTGGTGAGCATGACCAGAAAAAGGAGTGGCAGGCAAATCTAAGGCTTGCTTTTACTAACCTTTGATTTATTTAGACTCTTTCAATGTACATTACTGGAGCCTGTCTTTCAGATCAGCACAGCAACAAGGTTCAGTGATAAAAAATGGTTAAAAACCCTGTTGCTTAGGAAGAGTTTTAGCCATGAGGTTCTTTCTTCTTCTATTGCTTAAATATTAGATTGTTTGTTAATTCATTTTTTTAAATCTAGTAAAAGTGTTTCTGGTAACTATGAGCCGTGTGTTGTCATGGATAGACGGGAGCTGGTAGAGAGTTTCAAAGCCACTGGGACACTTTAAGGCAAGCAGCCCACTGTGGACTCTTCTCAGCTGGGGGACGGCTGGCTGGAGATGCCATGTTGGAAGGTCCCAGGGTGGGTGGTTCAACATCCAGCAAGAATCCTGCATCCCCAAGCGTTTATGCTCCCACCCCTACACACCACTGCAACACTTTGGGAAGTTGCCGCCAGAAAAGTATATTATGGAAACAGAGCCTCAGTTCCTCCACCCCTTGTGTCTGTAGCTCTGTTTTGATTGGTAAGGACCAAAACCCTATATTTGGAGGTTACCATTATTACATTCATCAAGATTTGTGACTTGTATCCCTTTGCTGAAAGCATTATGTAATTAGTGTTCTTTGTCTTCTTGTCTTCAACCATTTCACCATTAATTTCTCATTCTTTCACTGAAGACAATTTGATTGAGAATTTAGACAGCGGGGATGAGAGTGATGGCAGTTCTATGCTACATACATTTTCCCAACCATCCCCATGGATTTCCTCAACATCTTGCTGCTTTCATGCTTCAAATCCTCCTCCAAAACATCCTCCCCCTCATTCCCGAACCGCTCCCCCAAGCCCAATGCACTGTCATCGGGTAAGGGAGACAATCACATGCTCTCATACAAGGCCGGCAAAGGAGGAAGGTCTGAATGAATTGCGGAATACATTGCAGCAGGCCACCAGCTGCATGGAGCGCAGTTCTGAAAACGTCCATCTGCTTGGTGAGAGGATGGCTGCTGCTACCGAATGCATATCTGAGAGTGTGCAGGAGAATTCTCAGGCTTTGGAGATGTTAACGCATGTAGTCGAGAAGCTTCAAGAGTTAGTCCCCACAAGCGGCACAATTTCGGAATCACCACATGGCACCGAGACTGCAAGTAGAGTGGTTAACCGGATGGGTAGCAGATCGCTCAGTGTTCCCACCAGTCCAGCTATTGCCTCATCCTCTCGCATTTCTCATTGTCCTTCCAGCTCCTCTTCCTCCTCTTCTTCTTCATCTGCCATGACTTTTCTGGAGCAGCCAGTGCTATCAAAGGGGAAATCCTTTAATCCCAAAACAAAGCCATCACGATCTCCTCAACGGAGACAGCTTGATGTCCAGCACCGGATGACCAATGGCTCCTTGACATCCAGCCCTGCCCAAAACCACAAAGTGAACAGCAGCGCATTTAGATGTTTCTTTAGCCAGAAGAAAAAGAAAAACAAGAAAAAGGAATAAGACCACTTCCACATTTCCATGGTTATGAACATCCTTTCATATTCTTGCTGTCTCACGCATGCAGGTCTTTAATCTTTAATATGTGTGTATTCATCTAATATGTCACCACCGGTCCTTGATGTTTACCATTGTCACATTAGTGCTTGTCCAACCTTTTTTGGAAGTGATGTTTTGTTTTGTTTGGTATTTTATTGGTAATTCTCATTGGTTCAACATCCCCATGACTGTCCGTTCTCATATCTCTTCTTCGTCGTCTTTCTCTTCATGTAACATTGCAGTTCAGTTTGTCATTAAATATTGTTCCTGGCATGCCACTTCCATCAAATGTTTGATGAATGCATGTTTTGTGCTTGATTCATATCAAATGAAGCCTTGTAGATATTTAGATTGATATCTGCTTTCTTCTAACATATAGGGAGCAACAATCAGGAGAGATGATGTGACAGGGGAAATATACATTGCTCGGGTTATACATGGAGGACTGGCTAACCGCAGTGGTGAGGGTTGCCTGTCTGTACTTTTTTTCTGAATCCCTCCTTTCTATTTGTGTCTCTGATATACCATGCTCATGTATTTTATACTCTCTATGTCAGTATTACTTCTCATGGAGTCTTGTTTCTTGTCTACGTGCTTCTTCTTGAAGGTCTCTTGCATGCTGGAGATAGGCTGGTGGAGGTAAACGGTCAACCCGTGTTTGGACTGGAACCAGAACAGATTATACAAATTCTGGTTAGTACACATTTACTCTCCTATTATATGTTGGTCCACAAAATGGGATTCTGTTACACTTGTGTCCCACATTCCTATCCGGGTCACGGCACCAATGTCAGATAAAGTCAAGTCACCTTTATTTCCTTAGAACTTGATACAGATTGTATCAAAGTAGTTTCACAGAAATAAACAGGAAAATAGCAGAATCAATTATGGAAACTCAACTATGGAGACAATGGTGTCATTATTTAGCTCAAGTCAGTTTAGTGTTGGTTCAGTTGATCAATAAGAGTGTGAAGTTCATCGATTTGAAATGAGTTCAGTTCAGCTATAAGCAGTTCTATAAAAGGCAGAAATGTCATTATTCAGTTTGAGTCAGTTCAGTGTCGATTCAATTCAGTTCAATACCAACGTCAATGTTGCAATATGCAATTCAGCTGTAAAGCAACTCTATAGAAAACGATAATGCCATCATTTATTCTATAGCAAAGTAGAATAAATAACTCTTTTTATCACAAACCAAGTCTCTACTGTACCAAACAACAACTATTCTGACTAGTCTTCTATTTCAACAAGAAAATAATGATAATTCAACAATATTCAGTTTTAAGTTTTGTGTCTTCATTTCCTACCACAGACCCACTCCCATGGAACCATAATGTTTAAGGTGGTTCCCATCACTGACAGGCCAGTCAACAACCAAAACATGGTGAGTTACCAAACATCAACCCTAGATCTATACTAGTCTATAATCTGTACTAGTCTAGATCTATCACAGGATCATAACTTATGATCAGCAGGAATAGCATGGAATACCCAAATGAGCTATATATTACTATTTTACTTATATATTACTATTTTTATTCAACCACATGTATCACAGCAACCAGTGAAACAGTGACACACACTACTTCATTTTCCCAAAACAAAGCACACTGTGCAGTATACTGTATCCCAAAATGCATTGCATTTGCCATGACCTTCAATTTGTAGTATGACGAATGTTCCAGAAGTAAAATCAGCTTAACGTCTTTATCTTCAATAATTATTTGGTCAGACTAACAAGAATGAAAACATTTTATACAAACTTGGAATAAAATAATGGACAAAATACCTGTCAAAGAACATTATTAGATTTCACTTACAGAATTATTATGCATGTAATGAGGTCATGTGACAACATATTGGCATACAACTCCTTGACATATTTATTAATGTTGCTGACTGTTTCAGTTTAAAAAAAAAATAATAGGTAAAGGAAGGTTTATTGCATAGATCTGTGTGTCTATCAGCTGGGAATGTGCATGATGTTTTTAATGGCTTTGCTCTCTTCACAAGCTGTATGTGCGTGCCATGGTGGACTACAATCCCCACGTGGACCCTTCCATTCCCTGCGCTGATGCCGGCATGGCGTTCAGGAAGGGAGATATCCTGGAGATTGTGGATCGGTCAGACACTCTCTGGTGGCAGGCTGTAAAACTACCCAGTATCACGGCCTGCGCTGGCCTCATTCCTTCCACCAGCTTGCTGAAAAGGTCAGTTCTAAGTAGTCGAGGGTTAAAGGTCAGTGACAGAATAATTACACATCTGCATAGGCTGTGTGATGATGTGATGAGATTTGGCAGCTGACTTGAATGTGATTTGAGATTAGGTTGATAATCACTGCCGGCCCCGATTTGTGACTGTGTGTGCTTTTGCAGGAAGCAGAAGGAGTTATGGTGGTCTCAGCCTTATCATCCTTACACTTGTGTCAAAACCTGTGAGTAAACAGTATATGCTGTTATTGTTTTATATGTGCATTTACTCAATATGTGTTGAATTCAACTGTTATGCATTGGCTATCTTTTGTTTCCATGCCAACCTGCAGTGAGCACAGTGGATGAAGGTGAGCATTCAGTTGAGAGTCTAGAAATACACAAGCCTGCAGGTTATTATAATTATTAGAATTTCTAATTTCAGTAAGATTTGTTAATTGTTTTGAAAAAAGACTGTTATGGTCACCAAGGCTGCATTTATTTGATCAAACTACAGTAAAAACAGTGCTATTGTGAAATATTATTACATTTTATTTGTATCATAACTTATGATCAGCAGGAATAGCATGGAATACCCAAATGAGCTATCCTTTTTATTATATTTTATTTGTGATCTGTTCCTGTGATGGTAAAGCTGTATTTTCAGCAGCTATTACTGCGGTCTTCAGTATCACATGATCCTTTTAATCATTCTAATATGCTGATTTGCTGCTCAAGAAACATTGGTTATTATCAATGCTGAAAAAAGTAGTGCTGCTTAATATTTTTGTGTGAACACTGCTTGTGTGTGCGCAGTGTGAAACACACCTTAGGCTCGTCTCTGATCTCTTTATTTTTTCCTCTTTTTTTATTCTTACAGAAGATGACCTGATTGCCATAGATGAAAAATGTGTAAAAGCAGGTACGTTTTCTTGTCTGATTTAAATGAGTATTAAAACCTAGCTATGTAATGCTTGTTTTGCTTCCACATGTGTTTTGTTTCCTCATGCACAGATGAGGAGGCATTTGAATCTGGTAGGTAAGTCCTGAACGTATCAGGAGAAAACTGTAGTGAATTCAGATTTAGGGTCAATGTTTTTACATCTTTAGCTATTCTCACAGCTACAGCAACAACTAGATTTGTGAAAAAAATTATATTATGGTATTAAAGATGAAGTGTGCCACAAAATTTTAGAGTGCAGCTTTAAACACTTTAAAATGATTGTCTCTTAAAACGTATGTCCCCGTGTCCTTCATGATGATTCGTCAGAAGAGCTAAAGGATGGTGAGTGTAGAAATCATAAAACTTTATATTAATTGCAGCTGCTTGTGCTGATATGATATTTTACTTTATTCAAGTCATTGATAATTATTCTGCATTTGTTATTAGATGCATTAACTGTGTCTTGTGTCGTTTTTCAGAGGAGAGTGAATTCAGCACCAACATTGAGGGGATTTATCTGAGTAAGTGACTCACAGATATTACAAGATTTACTGGTTTATATTTATTATAGCTTATACAAACACTAGATGAAGAGGACTAGATGAAGGCAACTGAAGAATACTAGATGAAGGCAACTTAGGTTTATCTACGACTTGGTTGTAGATACCAACATTTTGCACATGCTAGTGATTTAAAGGAGTATATTGACTAGTCAGGTGGAAGATATTACATTCATTGATTATATTAGATTAATAACAATATACAACACATACCACTCATTAACTGTCTGTTCCTGATTCTGTAGCATCATATGACTGTGTGCATTTTTGATTGTGTTTTTATTCTTTGTACATATTATTGTGAATGTCAGCTGGTTTTCGACGAAGTCTGCGTCTCTGTCGCCAACGTAGAGGTCAGGATTTTGGAACATCCCAGTTCTGCACCCTATTCTGCCCCACGAGCTGTTACAGTTTACTGGCCAACCCGTATGAGGAGGTGGTGCGGTACCAGCACCATCCAGAGCACCCACACCGCCTCATAGCACTGCTGGGTGAGTGTGTCTGAGTGGGCTACAATCAGCCAGCAAAATACACCTATACCAACCACCTTGTACAACCAACCCTGCCTGCACATTATCATGTGTGTCCTGAACTGGTACTCTGCTGTCAGGTCCATCTGGTGTCGGGGTAAATGAATTACGCAGGAGGCTAATTGAGATCAATCCAAAGGTCTACCAAGGAGCCGTTCCCCGTGAGTTTCATATTATAGATATGACTTTGTGTGATATAACTGTACATATGAAAAAGTGGACACGTGTGCTGATTTTGAAGTTGACTTTCATTTCCACTCAGATACCACACGGCCACCCAAATGCCATGAGGGATCTGGCAGAGAATATCACTTTATCAGCCGAGAGCAGTTTGACAGCATGGTCTGCAATCTCAGGTGGTCTAAATATACTCAACTGTGCATAAACCGATATTTCCTAATTTACTATGTTTTTTGGGGGGGGGGGAATGTATAATCCAACAAAATGTTGTTATTTTTAATCCTAGATAGGTCAGTGACTTTTTCTCTCTTTCTTCCTCAGGTTTATTGAGTTTGGGGAGTTGAGAGGTCATCTCTATGGCACTAGTGTAGATGCGGTTAAGGATGTCTTGGCGAGTGGAAAGATCTGTGTGATTGACATTGAGCCATATGTGAGTTTCTCTTGGGAATATATTCATCTGTTGTTATTAGTGGTGTTTGCTAAGTTTTATTATAAATATTTCAGGTTAGGAAAGTGGACAACACCTTAACTTACGTATTAAACTTAGGCGAGTAACTCGTGTTCAGATCTGTTGAGGAGAACAGTGTTATTTTAGTATTATTAATATACTATAAGGGTTATTATTGTTGACTAAAGCTAAAACTATTCAAAACATTTTCGTTACTTGATATAAAGCTAAAATAAAATAAAAAATGTAGATGAAATATGTCAACTAAACAGAAATTAGAAATCCTGCCATGGCAACTGAAGCACTAAAATATTATACTATTAATAT